CGATGGCCTCCAACCTACTAGCGATGGCCTCCAGCGTCCAACCTACTAGCGATGGCCTCCAACCCACTAGCGATGGCCTCCAACCTACTAGCGATGGCCTCCAACCACCTAGCGATGGCCTCCAACCTACCAGCGATAGCGATGGCCTCCAACCTACTAGCGATGGCCTCCAACCTACTAGCGATGGCCTCCACCCAATGCCCATGGCCGGCTGACCAGGACTTGTCTCTTTTGAAAGACATGAACACATTATAACACATCCACGTTATGTGTCGCACTGTCCACGCAGTCTCCACGCAGTCATGCGTTCAGTCTACAAAACTCAGATTCAGGTGCACAAGCAAAACACCGAAACGTCATCACCCCGTTGTCAGCGTCCGCTGGACGCACATGGTAGTCTTGTTCCAGCCACCTTCGTCTCAGGTAGCTGCTTCAAGTCCTCCACACCAGGAAGTGATTGGATGCATAAGGCCACAAAGAGATTGTGAGGAGGGTGTGAGGCAGAAAGTGGATCCTCAAAGATTTGAACTACACAGTACTACAAAGGTGCCTTTGGCATAAGAGCCAAAGCTTCACTTTGCGCACCTTCGCTGGAGAAGCCATCTCCACCTCCTCCACGCTCTCATAGTAGAGTTTCACCTTCTGACGCAACTTCTTGAGCAAGGCCTGCGTCTGCCTGGCAGGGACTTTGACAAGATCTCAGCAAGGGAGTTCAGCCTCTTCAGCTGACCCAGCCGTCGCTTTCTTGTCGCGAAGCCCCTTCTCGTTGCACCCTGAAACCCTCCACCAATCCAAATTGGGCCTCCCCCCCACCTTTCCATCCGACCAACAACCGCGCCTGGCATCATCCCGCTTTCGGGCAGCCTCCCGAGCCCGGTTCGTGGCCTCTTCCTCCTGGGCTTCGGCCACGGTGGCCGCGGAGACCGCCACGTTGAGCTGCGCCTGCATGGCTTGCAGCTCCTGTGGGGAGATCGCGGCGAAGCCCAACAGGGCAAGCGGAACCCAGGGGTGTGATTGCCAGACGGTTGACGATTGGAGATTGAAGCTTTCTGGTCACTGGCCAAAGTATTGACATGCTCAACCAACATGTCCGGCACAAATTAAAATGATCCAGATTCTCTAGCCTCGATCAGGAACAACATGCAACAATAGTGGTTAGTACAGGCAAGCAGCTAGCAACAAGCGGCTAATACATCTGAAGTCCATCTCAAATCCCTCCTTCTTCGCAGTCTGCATAGCTTCCTCCACCTTTGCCTGCTCCTGAGCCCAGCAAACTGCTCAACAACGGCCCAAGCACGCTTAGAAATTCACAGGCAACCACCTAGGGTTGACCATTATCCCTTTGAATTGCATCTACAATCATCTATAATTATATATATATATATGGTATATATAGTATACAGTATCTACACCATATTATGTATATATATATATATATTGGGAAGACTGTTCCCCTCGAAGACCCCTAGTGAAATTGAAAATTGCCGCTTTTGGACTGTGAGTTTTTGATGTCCTTTAAGTTGCCAAGTCTGACGCGCCCCTGGACGCACCCCGCGGATGCACCCCCGGTCACTACATGCCGCATCATGCCGCACCCTTTGCCATAGTTTTTGTTCTTTCATGTTGCCAAATCTGACACGGCCCTGGACGCAGCCTACCTGCCGCACCCTTTGTCATGGTTTTCAAGGTTGACTTAAAGGGCTAGTTTGGACGCACCGCTGCACGCACACCTGGCCGCATACCCCGCAAGGGTTCCGAGAGGTTCAGGGTCACATTTGACCAAGAAAATAGGTCACAGGATGTCACAGGTCTTCGAGGGCAAGCGCCCTAGCCAAATTATAGGTGTCGATTCGTTTGATGTGTTTTTGCACAAGAAAATATGTGACCCAACCTATCGCTTCTCATCTCATCTCCCAGCCTTGCCAAGCTCTTGACCTCGAAGGACCCACAAGGCTCCCACACGGCCGAATCCCACCCCTCCCAAATCCATCAAGCCAACATCTGCATGCACATCGGTGCATGCATCGTGCACCCTTGCCCAGCCCCGCGAAGCACCCGCATCCGTTGCATGCATGCATTTCGGCGTCTCCTGCTCGGCGCCTTCCTTCAACTGCCCGGCCGACAAGGCCTGGCTCTTCAGTGTCTGCATCTCCACCTCAGCGGCCTCGCGAGTCGTCCGCAAGGCGTCCAACTCGGCCCGCAGCGCGGCAATTTGACCTGAGAACACGACCGGGTGACGGGAGAACCAAGAGCTGGCGGAACGGTGACAGGTTGAGGTCCTGAATTCTCAATCATGAAGAAAAGCGTAGTAGAGCATGCGTTTGCACCAATTCGCTCTGAGCTACATGATCATACTGAGGGGAAGCACTGACTTGCCCTGACATATCCTTTGGAAAATCCAAAACGCCTGTATATATATATATATATAGCTTCAAGGCAGAAGACATCTTTCCTCAAACCGCTGGAAAGATGGATGTTACATGTTCAAGAACAAGACAAGGCGACTCTGGAGAGTCCCATGTCTTTCCTTGAGAACTGCCGTTTCATGGGAAGGTGTCTTTGGCGGATTTCCAAGCTTCAAGGCTCCAAGGAGAAGCACTCTATATCGGGTCATTTAGTCATCTGGGTAAGTCATTGCACAAGACACCACCCCAGAGGCGGAAGCCGTTTAGCCGGGCTCTTGGAAAAAAACGTTGCAGTGCTTTTTCTGATCTCTTTGTGGCCGCCCTGGCCGTTGGACCGGGGCGCGTTTCAGCGTCTTGACGATCTGTCTCAGAGCTTGCTCCTTGAGCAAGACTTTCCGTGCCACGGACTCCATCTCATCACTGAGGTCTTTGAACTTCTCCTCGGCAACCCGGGTTGATGAAAGCCCATAGTTCCGAAGACACGCCCCATGCCGGACACCAAGGCCAGAAATCCCGGAAACAGCTCCGGAGACCGAAGAAACTCTCGAGGTCTATACACAACTGTCCTGAGTCCTGACCTCCAAACAACATGTCCCAAAACAACTGGAAAAGTGCCCACCCTTACCATCACCCCATGCCAGACTGCTCAACCCAGAAGAGACACCCGAAAAATCCCAAAAAAGAAGGAAGAAAGAAACACGCTGTTTGCTTCAGGCGGCAATGGACTTCGCGTGCTCCTGGCCCTTCTCCGTGTGTTCCGTTTGTGCCTTCTCCACACGGAGCATCAGCTCACGGCTCTTGGACGCCTTTGCTTCCAGCGCGTGGGTCTTCTTTTGCAGCTCCTGAAGAACGAAGGCTGGCTGAGGCAGGGCACTGCTTGAGCGCTGCTTGAGCACTGGTGGACACGGATATATAGGAAAGGACAGAGGAAAGAACATAAGTAGCGGGTAGTGGTCATGTGAGAAACTCCAAAAATGTGCTCTGCTCGTTTTGTGTGACTCGGGTAGCTGTGTCAAACACTTTGCAAACTCTTCGCATCATCCTTCTCCCAATAGACCCGATTTTGGATCCCAACGCCAGGTTCTCGAGCCCGTTCACAGTGTTTTGCAAACGACGGGAGCCTTTGAATGGGATTCTTTTTGGACTTGGTGTCTCCTGCATCACCTTTACCTTCTCATCGATCTTCTTTTTTGAGGCTTCCTTCTTTTGCTCGGCCGCTGCGTTGGCATCCTGGAGGAGAAAGCGCCAGGATGAAGAATTGGTAGAAAAGAACCGTGCTTCCCACAGGAAATTACAAGTATTCGGCATCCACAAAAGGCGATTGAAAACCCGAAACAAGTGGCGTCTCGACCACCCCCTCGACTCCCGGCCCTTCCAGAGCCTCCAACATCTTCACATGGTCGGAGACCTCTGCATTCGCACTCCTGGCCGTGGCGCCAAGCCCCGGCTGCTTCAGGTCCAGTGCAAGAGACCCCTGAGACACAGTGCAGAATTCCCAACAGCAAAGTGTTTACTGAACCTTTGTTACTAGTAGCTTCTTGCTCCTAGTAGTAATGCACTTGTTCCTAGTAACGATGCACTTGCTACTAGTAGCTTCTTGCGAAAGATATGTTGCCATGCACAAGAACCATCTATATAGAACATTCTAGAACCATCTTCACTATATGGTTCCCCGGGTTCCCGCTCCTGGAAGAGGCTACACGGCTACATAGAGACATTGAAAGAAAATTATTCCCAACACGCTCTTTGTCCAGAGTTGTGGCTAGGAATGCTGCACGAAAGTGCAATGATGTTTAGCTTCAGCCTACAATCCAAAAGCTTGCAGCTGCATCCTACTGCCCGCTCCTCAACTCCGTCAGGATCACTGCAGGAACTCTACTCTCGACTTCATCCACAGTCCGAAGCGCGCCCAGAAGATCAACAACACCCAGAATCAACAGCGCCTGAGGATGGAAGAATTGCCAGCGATGAGTCAGATTGTTGATAGAAACGAAATCTGATACATTGATACATGTTGAAAGGGATTCGTCTCTGATTTGTCACGGTTCTGTCGTTCTAGCATGCTCGATCTATTTTGTATCACCATACACAGTTGCTAGAGTGCATTTCGGTAGATCTACATAATAAAGAAACACCATAGAGCACTGTAGCATACTGCAGCACTATCCCCTGGTCAGGAAGTGCACTTGGCTTCGTCTGTCTTGCCAGGTAGCCTGGAGCATGAACGCCATCCAAAAATGCACCTTTTCGCGGTGTTTCTTGTAGAATCGTAGAATTCTCAAACAACTGTGCCGTTTGATCCAACACAGCTGCAAGGGACCCGTTCGGCCTGAGACACGTGCGAACAGGGATGGGAGTGTGACCCAGCAAGGTCGCCCGATCGGTCCCACATGGAGCGACCGACCACCAAGTAGGTCAACCGGTCGGACGAATCAAAATCCACATCCTTTTGATGGCTCATAGTCACGTGATAGCTGCTATTTGTTCATCACCATGTGGTTGCAGTATCACACAAGGTACATGTGTTCGGCGTGGTTTTTTTGCGTTGTGGAGCCTGGCCTTCGAAGCCAGCGCCAAACTGACGAACAACAGCTGAGACACCTGCTGCTCCTGGTCAGATGCCAAGACTCCACGAGCTCAGTACATGCACGAGCTCAGCTAGTTCAAGGGCTAAATGATATCGTGTCATGTGGCCAACAATCGTTCAGTACAAACGCCGCTATTAGGAGCAAGGACGCTACTAGGGGCTCCTGGCCATAATAGTAGGAGCAAGAAGCTACTAGGACCAAAGGGCATCGCTACTAGGAGCAAGGACGCTATTTAGGGGCTCCTGGCATCGCTAGGAGCAAGAAGCACCCAAATCAGTGAGCTAAATCTTACATCGTTGTCAACTCTCACGTATCTCCCCACAGTCACAGCAGGATTCGCGGTCCGTCAGGAACGGTCTCAAGGGCTCCAAAAAGGAGAAGAGTACCGTCCACATCACCTGCAAACAGAGCAATTGTCAATGTCCACACTGCCAACACATCCGCTTCACCAACATGGCGCTTGGTGTCCGCATCTCCCCTGCAAACGTGGGCGACTTTTGCCCGACTCCCAACACTGCTTCGAGGGGCTGAAGCGGCGCCAAACGCGTCCTCTTCCCCCCCTCCAGCCTCCCGCGACTCGGGAGTGGGACTCAGAAGAAGATCCGAGTTATGCATGGCCTCGGCGCCGGCGCCAAGCTTACGTTCACCGTTTCGGCGTTGGAAGTAAGTGGACTCGTTTCGGCGGAGCTGCAAAGACTCCTGCAAAAAAAAAACAAAAAAAAGTCGACTAAAACCTCCTAAAGCTTGTGTGCATCCCATTCCCTGTAACAGTGGATGATGATGAAAAAAATAGTGATAATCTTGTATTGACTGTTACAGGTCATGGGACAAACCCAACATAAAACCAATTGGTTGACAGCTGTCCAGCGAACTCCTCCCAAACCTGCACCATCTTTTACAGTGGGTGTTGGGGAAGTGGGAAAGCTGCCATGATATGAATGAGTTGCATGACCAAAAGAGGCCAACTGCATCAAATTGCGTTATCCCTCGAGTTGGCCGCATCCAAATATCTGCTAGGATTACGACTTAATGGCAGAGATCAAAACCAATGCATCAAGACCCATTGATTGGGGTGATGCTGAGCTAGATTGCCACTGTCACTGGGCAGTTGTGCACCAATCCTGCTACCACGCATAATTCCGCATGATGACTCATGATGACTTTTCAACGCTGACCCGGCTCAGTCTTCGCTGAGGTCATTTGGCTTGCCGTGGTGGTGTGGTGACCACAACAAGTGCATGTCCGCAAGGCAACAACTTGAATGCAATGTCTTTGTTTCGTGGTCGATCGCTCCAAGCCGGCGGCCTGCGGGGTCCATCTATACTCAGCCGGCAGCGGCAGAGCAGCAGAGCAGTGCAGTCTGCTCCAAACCCCCACCCCGCAGGTCCCCATTGTTCCACTGTCGCACCTCGATCAGCTCCGGGATCACCGGCTCCAGCTGCCCCATGCGAACACTTGGGTCCTGTACAGTGAGGCGCAACGAACATATCGAAGGCAGGGCGGATCGATCACGCCAAGGGCGCAGGACCCAAGACCACGCAAAGCCCACCGAAAGGAAGAACAGAACAAACGACCAGAGACGACCGCGTTGACTACGAGATACATGGTCAACCTATCAGACTCTGGCGTTTGGGGTGGGATTCTTCCTTTTGACCCGCGGTGGTCGTTCGTGCCAGTCACGGTGGTCGGGTTCATTCACCCATCTTCACCCCAATCCATCAATGGCAACTTGGAACTGAGAGCAACTGAGATCGGGTTCAGTCAGCACAGGAGGCCTCAAGAACCAAACCAAGATCTCTTCTGATATCTTCTGCACAGAGCTTTAGCAGTGCCTTCGCCACCGGTCCACAGAGTCTTCAGACCACATAGCTCCCTCCCGCCCCTGCCCGCTCAGCTCCATCCGGTCCGGCGGGCAGATGCTCTGCAGGACCGCCACGTGGCCCTCCAAGCACATGGCCAGGATGCGCATGCTGGCGACCCGCTGATCCAACTCCTGCCAGGCGAAACATGAAAAACATGGCAGGCGTCCTCGGCAAATATCTCCAGGAGTATAGTAAAGGGATCTGTAGGCTAGTTTCTGGTAGACTTATGCTCGACAGTCGTCGTTCTCATGGCCCTTGACACCGGCGGGCTGTCCCACACTCCCCTCTGCGGCGGGCCTGGAAACCACAACAACGGAAAGATCGTTGAGTTCGTGGCCTAATGCCACCTACAAGTACTCCTTGAGTTCGTGGCTTCATGATGTTGGATGTCTGATGTCTGGAACCTAGAGCTGCTTCCAACAAACTGCCCAATGTCAGCAATCAAGGCTCCAGGGCACAATCAGCATCCAAGGCAGGTCTGAGCTGCGCCCACAGCGCTGCCGGTTCCAAGAAGGCACCCAGCAACTTGCAAACGGCTCCATAGGTCTGCATGGCCCTGGGCACAGTGTCATCTTCGTCTTTGGGATGAGTCTTTGGAAATGTCAACCACCTCAACAAAGGAGGGCAATTGCCAGGCCCCCATACATCCCTGACACTTGAGAATAAACACACATCAAGATCGATACGCCATGTGCCTGGTGTCGCCCGCAGCCCATGCGCGGCCCGAGTAGAACTTCGTAAGGGCTTGCAGCATAGGTTGAAGCCACTCCGTGACCCCTGAGAATCGCTCGGTGGATTCAAACGGGCGCGCAACGCACATTTCTGAGAATCTCTCTTCTTCAAAGGAACTAACTAACTCTAACTCTCTCTCTCTCTCTCTCTGAGGCCAACCATTTTGATCTGCAAAATTCTCTTGCTCCCTCCTGAGCTGCCCTCTTTCCCTGCCTTCCTCCGTGTAGGCCACAGACATGCACAGCAAACGGCCCGCGTTCAGCGCCGTGCAGTCCCTGAAGTCGACCACATCGTTGAAGGTCGCCTTCGTCAAGCGACGTCCATCAGCGAGGCGTCGTCCAATCGAGAGACGTCTTCAAAAACGGGGAGTAAAGACGTTTCTCCACAGTGAAGAATTGGTTTTAAAGAAGAAAAGAAAACTTGTTGATCTTGGCTTATCCTTTCTTTCCCTTTTCTTCTCTTGGGTGCATTAGCACATGTCCTTTTTGGCGTCCCCACCTTGGGGACGGTTGACTACTTCCTTCACCAGGAAAACTTTGTGCTTTCGGTAGGGATCATGTCCAGCGACTGACAAGAGTACCGCTGGTGCCCGTCCGTGTTTTGGGGTCGAAGATAGTAGCCCGCCCCATCTTCCTCTCCAAGTTTCGGCCCCAGAATCGTCATCGCATTTGCTTCAGGATCTTCACGGCTCTCCGTCTCTCCGTTCTTTGTTACTTTGTTACACCGAGCTCATCCATCCACCCCACCTTTGTCCCACCCAAGCTGCGTGCCTTGATGTAGCGCCGCGTGTGGGTACGCACCCAGCTCCGCGATCCCAACCGCGGCCGGGGCAGCTTGCGAAAGACCTCCAGGTGCCGCAGCTCGTTCCACCCATAGTCCCCTCAGTGCAGAGCCCGTGACTGGGAAAACAAGGGTCCAAGACCGGTCGCGGAGGCCAGCGCCAAAGGGTCAAAGGAAATTGAAAAGGAAGCGTTTCGTTGTACTTTCCAAGATCTTGTATTTGGTGCCTCCCCCCTTCCCCAAAAGTTTAATGGCAACGCTTCTCAGCCCTTGACGGCGTGGGAGCTCTAAGGGCGAGCCCAGCGGCCCTTCCTGCAGAGCGCTTGTCTGGCATGCGGCATAGGCCACAATACCAATGAACTCTAGCCTCATGTAATTTCCTGCTCAATAGCTTCCCACCGGCCCAGGCCCGGAAGGTTTGCCCATCTTCATCCGCCCTTTGCGTCGCCTCTCCACCTGACCTCTGACAGTATTGAGAACCACACACAATCCTACTCCCATGCGAGCAAATGAATCTGGCTCCTCTTCGGCTTCCTCCTCATCGAGAAGCTCCTGAGTCAAGGATCAGGTTACCAACTACAGTTCTGGGAAGCAAAGGACTTGAGTAGCTTAGTATGACCACTTCGGTCTGCCAGTGGCATGCTGTCCGCATCCTTTCGATCCTCAAGCTTCTCCCCTCTAACGATGATTAGTCCCGCATCAATCACCAGGGACAGGATAGCAAAGGAGGCGCTTGACAACTTACCAACCTCTGCCGTGGCAAACAGCGTGATTAATCCTGACAGGAATCCAACAAACCTTCAGCCCACAACGAGTGCAAAACCATGGTCTCTTGCCCCCCAACCCACCCAAAACCATATGTTCCACTCCATCCATCCACCGCAGATCAAGTCCCAGCCACTCGGTGGTGATGATCGGTCAGTGCCTTCTGCCCCAGCAAGTCGGGGCCCCGAGCACCGCTGCGGCGCACCGCCGACGACGCGGAGCGTCCCGCGCCGTTCCACACGCCTTGCAGCGGGAAGGGCACCGAGGCACGTCCGTTGTAGGTCCACTGGTAGTCAAAACCTGAGAGCGGTTGGTGAGAGCGGTTTGGGGCCAAATGGGAAGAGCGGCACATCATAGGGTGTTATTCGACCACGATATATATATATATATCATTCATACACATCCACACCATCTATCTCTGATAGGCTAATAGGCTCCTTTTTGCAAAGCTTGACATGCTTTGACCATAGATGCCTCTCTTTAGCTTGCTACTGGTTGACAGCACACCAACTGATCCGCAGGCACGCCGAACACTCTCTTGAGCGATCAAATAATAAGCTTCTCCAGGATGGACGGATGACGATCCCGTTCCTCTTGGACAGCTGCGCAGCGGTGTTGGACCTTTCAGCCCTTTCCTAATCCCCAACACACGAACACCATTTCAGCCGCAGGCACCATATTGCTTGGTCTTCCTCAAGTCCTCCTCATGCTCGGCCTCATAGGCCTCCCCAATCTTCTCAATCAGCCAAAAGACCTCCAACGCGATCTCCTGAAAGCCAGGAGAATCGTCGCGAAGCGCTCCGCGATGGGAGATCCAAACCCCTCCACAGCCTTTGATTACTAGAAAGCGTTCTTGAGCATTGGTCGATGTCAAACACTCAAACAGCTGCTCTTCGGTGCCACAGCAAAAAAACAACACAAACACCTTCTGATTCCCCGGCGAACACACCCAGCTGCACCGCGGCCCAGCGAATTTTGCTGGACCCTCTCAGCCCGTGAACTGGACTCCTCATTCTCGTCACACAAGCCCGTCAACAAATAGGGCGCGATGTATGGCTCCAAGTCCACCTCAAAACGCACAAACCAGAGCGTTTTAGGACATATGTGCCATAATCCAATCAAACTGGGGAAAATCGCCGGGCCCTAAAGAGTTCTTCGTTTGTTCTTGCACTTTTGGGCAAAAGCAAAACCAGCAGTTTTGCCGTCAGAACACAGGTACAACAATGAGAACCCCTCATCTCCGCCTCGGCCTTGGCCTTGGCCCGTCCTCCTTATCCGGCCTTGTCGACACATCGCAGCATCCAGTACGCCAGGGTTTCGAACCAGAAGCGCCGCACAGCTGGATGGCGGTCGAAGCTTAAGGTAGACATGTAGTTCACCTCAGGTAGACTCGACATGTGATGACATGTGGCTTCAACACCATCAACACCTTCTCCATTCCTCAAAATAACGAAAAACGGTCGTGAACCTTCCAGTAGCACATGCGATGACAACAGCCGAGCTCTTCTGAACCAATGGAGATGCAGTGAGCCTGCTGGACAATGAGACATGGAGACCCTCCAAATCCCAACTGCACAATGCCCAAGGACGAGTTTTGAGCAAGTAAGCACTTTCAGATTTCTGGTCCATCCATTCACGCAACTCACATGATTCACATGTCCTCCAAGCACAACACCGGCAAGGAAAGGATTGTCTGGACTTGTGTTGCCCAGTCACGTTGGTCACTCCCTCGTAAAACGCCTTGATCGGAACCTTGTTTGGATCCTGCCAAGCCATCAGAACCTTGGCAACCATGGAGTTGAGTCGGCCACCAAAATCGATAGCCATACTTGTGCTGAAAGTTGCTTAGGCAAGCTTGCCAAGGAGCCTGAAAGATCTCGAAGTTGTGCTTCCAGATCTCGGTTCAACACGGAAAAGACCATCAAACTCTGTTCTCAGTTTTGGATACAGTACTTTCCTGTCTCACATTAGACCATGAAAGACAGAAGCAATCAACAAGAAACGAAACTGAAGGACTGGAGGAATCAGCTTTACCGATCCCTTTCTGGTCATTCTCCGCGGCCCGAAGCGAAACCCGAATCGGCTCGGCCAGGGCACGCCACACCACAGGCACGCGGTCACCGCGCGGAGGCCCGCGATGCGGAGTTTGGCGTGGTTGTGGGTGAGGCAAGACCTAGGGAGAGAGAGCGAGTTGCTCACTCTAAAGTAACAGGTCGAATGAGGTACAAGCTGATTGGCAACGTTGATTGGGCCACCAAGATTCCAGTTACAGAAGCTGGCTCATCAGAGTACAGCAGGTCCGAGGGGCGTAAGGGATCTAGCCAGCGGCAAAGCAAAGTGCAAGAGCATCTCTGTGTGGTTGTAACCTAGATCGGCTGGATGTTCCATCCAACTTCGGCATTCCGAGCGATTCGAAAGCAAGCTGCGGCATTTGCGAGGTAGCGATATCACAAGAAGAAGGGAGCCATCCTTTGAGGAAGCTGATTCAGAGGCATGCCTCAAAGACAGGAGGGCTCAAAGCCATCCTCCAAAAGACCCAGCCGGGCAGCAGAAGGAGATCATGGTCTCACAGGCCAAGGCCTTCACTTCATGGAAGGGATCCATCGCTGCGGCACGGATCAGCCCGGTGGCCTCGCGGCGCCAAGCCACCGGCCAGCGTTGCTGGGCGACGGAGTCCCAAACACAGACGAAGCCATGAGTGCACAGCCCCAAAACAGGAAAGTGAATGAAAGTGAATCTTACAGGAGGACTCAAAGCATTGAAAAATGAAGGCACCCGGAAACGAGAACTTGATTTAGCAAGCAAAAATCACTACAAATCCCCCCTTAGACCTCCAAATCAATTTTCGGGGGTCCCTCGAGCTTGCCTCATCGATGTAGGAGTAGATCTGCGTTGGGCTACATCGACTCAGCAACGAGGCGACAAAGTGCCCCAGCTGCAGTCGGACCTCCTCGCTGTCCTCGAGGAAAGCGCAGGGATAGCGGAGGCTTCTCTCAGAAACTTTCTGGCTCCTTTTCAGTGTGTTTCTGTGGGTCAGCTTGGGGAAGAAGTCCTCACGGTCGCGTCAGGTCGTGTTCAAGTACAGTCCTCCACAGGCTGCGCGATCTCCGTGGGCTTCTGTTCAGGATCCGGCCGCATGATCTCTGGGAGGTGCGCTACGCCATCCAAGTCCTGCAAAACGACCCCCGGTCCCCCCACGCCCTTCAAACGTGCTCGGCCGAGATAGGCGGCCGTTGGAAGATTGGTTCGGGAGTTGCAGTTGGAGGGCAAAGTGAATTAATATGTGTGTCCAAGTGTTTCTTCTAGATGTCGGTCATCTCAGCCGATCGGAGCAACCCTGTTTGTGTGGTTGACCTTGGTTAAGGCCAGCAGCCCAACTAGCATGGGGAAAGTCTACTCCCCCCAGACCAGCTTCGGCAGACCAAGTTTGAAAAGGCCAAGGGATTCTGAGCTCACTATACCATAGGCTCGGTTGGATTTTCCAGGTTCGAAGGTGATTGCATTACACCGTTCAATAGACATGAATAGACTGGCAACTTTGGGCATCGAGGAGACATCAGACATCACATCCAAGATCCGAAACGCTTCATGCCATTGACCCAGAAACCCCAGGAACCGGCCGATGCTAGCGCCATGCCGGAACCTGCCCTTCCCGCCTCAGAGCCGAGCCGCGCCACCAAGGATGGGAAAATGTAAGGCCTCGGACAGCAACGACTCAGTAGACTCAGCGGATCCTTGTGCCTTTTCACAAATGAATGGAAGGTCCGCCCAAACGAAAAGGCTCCAAGTTAGCCAGCCCCAAGTGTTCTTTACCTCCCAGATGGTTGTCCCCCAAACCCTCTGGGAGCCCCAACAGTGCGGCAGCCAAATCTGAGGTGTTCTCCACGAGGCTCCCTTGGTCAGAGGATCACGGCTCTGTCTGGTGCAGAGGATCACGTCTGTTGACTGGTAGTTGACCGGTCTAAATTATGTAAACCTTTGCATCAGGGTACACCAGGGTATTGTACCACAGCTTTCACTGAACCCGTTGTATTCTTCTCACTTAGGCCACATCAAGCCACAGGCTAGATCTCGGATGGCCCCCTGGCCTATAGGACAACTTGAATCGATGACCTTTCTATATATGCCGGCTACCAAGTCTAGTTGGCCTATAAAAGAACTCCAACAAGTAACTACAATTTAATGGCACCTGAGAAATCATGGCAAATCCATCGTGTGTCCACGTCTCAATCCAAAACCTTCTCCCCATCTTCTTTCAGCATTCCAAGCAGCGCAAGATCTTCACGGCAGATTCCCGACACTTCTCACTCCGGTCCTCTGGCGGCAAACGATGCAGTGGAGGCGGCCGTAGCGACGATTTTGGAGCGGTCTGAAGGTGCACAATAAAGGCATCGAGGCATGTCGAGGCTTTGGATAGAAGACTGTTCGACATAAAAAGAAAGAAGATAGTATATAATATACTATATATTATACAATTATGATGTATACTATATATATTTGTTTATTTATATACACGAATATTAGTGCTCCCTTGATGAAGAATCCATCACTCTCTGGCCAGGGCGGATTCCTTCATTCTCTTGAGGAGGGGCTTGAGCAGTGCATCCACTACAGCATCAACAATGTCAGTGGCCAAGCTATCCTCAGCTGCCGTGCTGTGGAGGATGGGACACTCAGCGCTCTAGTTCGGGGCGTGGGAACCGAAGTTGGGTTAACCTGATAACCTAACAAATACCTTTGCCCCAGCAATGCCAATTGGTACTAAGTGGTGCCACTGCAAGCCTCCCAAGCTCTGCAAGTTCCCATTCACAAGCCAATGCCTCCATATGACTCCCATCAAATTGACCCAGGTGTCGATTTGCTTCACCAGCACTCGCTCCAACTTCTGCAGAGATTGAAGGCGAACCGACAAGTTCTCCTCAGACAAGCCTTGGGGACGCTCGATGAGCGTCGCGAGCTGGCCGAGGAGAGAAGAAAATGGTTCAAGGTTATATACATTCAGCCAGCCCGCAAAAAGAAATAGGACCAATTAATGGAGAGGTGATTGATCTTCCTGGAGAATCCCACTCAAAATCTGCCTCAAACTCCCTGAAGTGAAAATGCTCCCTCCAAGCAGCAGTTGATGTCCCGCTGTATGTAGGCCAAGAAAATCTCTGGGGTACCTGGAGCGGCACAAGCATCCGATCGCAGGTGGGACTGATTGACTCACCCTGCCTGGCCCTGCCTCAAAAATGGAACATGGGAAGGAGTTGTGAGTAGAAGTACAAAGACTCTTTGGACTTGGGTGACTTGGTTTTCCTCCCTTTTCCTACATACAATGTACCTTTTTCCCTTTCCCCAATCCAACATTCCTTCCATCCTCCCGAATCACCCCGGGCCCTCCGGCCAGTTGGAAGCTCTTCGAGCGCGTCCACCATGGTGGTGGGCGGTTCGACCACGGCCATCGCCGGGCCACCGAGGAAGGCCTCCACCTCCGGTGACGGATCGGCCACCGTTGACGGCTTTCGACGGTGACGACGGATGTTCCTCGGGGCGACGGCCTGGTGTTCGGTCGGCTTCAAAGTGGCAGACCAGCTGGACATCCAATTTAAGGAGGAGTCCATTCGCTTCGCTCCTCTCCTGAGAACGTCATCGTGGGGAGCACAACAGAGAGAGCATGGCAAGTGGCATTGCTGCTCCCGAAGCTACTTGTTTTCCGCAATCCTGAAATTCCGTGATGTGTCTACTATATGTATGTGTATATATATATATATATTCACCCCAAAAATGAACTGCTGCCCATCCAGTTGGTCCCACCCCTCTCTCAGCTTGGCGACTTGGCTTTAGTCTTTTCCTTCTGCAAAAGGCTCAGGTCCTGTACCTTCGTCGCAAGAAACAGCTAACAAAGACCAACCTTTGGGCTTTCAACCCCCAGTGTTGAAAATATCCAAGGACTATCCTGGGATCAAACTATAGCTTCGTGCCATCATCTCGGTGGTCGGAGAAGGAACTTCAGATTAAATCCATTGTGGTGACTTGTCCAAAGGTTGAATGATCTGGCTATAGCTAGAGCAGCTAGAAACCAAAGGACCGCTAACTGTGCTGAGAGTGTGTGTGTGTGTATAATATATTATATGTATGTGCACATGCAGGAAAAACATAGCAGCTAGCAGAATCACCTGTCATTCCGGTCTGTGGCTCTCAACATGATCGATTATCACACAGTCATTCTTGAATTGGCCGCTCGGACAGCTGCCTTCGTCTTGCGAGGGTAGGTGGTACCTCCCTGCTCTCGCTGCATCTCCAGCCAAATCCTCGACGGGGGGGTGCAGTCAACACACCGATTCGATCCGACACACCGATGCGAGGGAACAACAGACAGCGCAACAGGTCTTGAAGTTCCCAGCGCAACAGCGGTTGCACCTTTCGAAGGGTGTCTCGGAGTCTCGTCTCGTCTCTGCTCCAAAAGTGGGCCCTGTGCTCATGATTGGTGACCTTGCAACAGATGGATCTGCGAAACCCACCGGGACCGCCATGCAAAACCCACCGCGACCCGCGTTTGTTCCTTGAAGCTTTCCCTGGATTGGCAAATATACTTTCAGCTGAGCTCCTGAGCTCCTTCAGTGTTCGGCCACTTTGGACATAGCGTTGTTCTGACGTTCATACCCCACCAATGGCCGGTTTTCACCCATCCCCCAGTCGCAAAGGATCCCCAAAGTATAAGACTCAACGCACAAAGCCACAAGGGCAGAACCTGTAATGTAGACTCTTGATTAATAACCCCCCGATAAATCATTTGAATTGAAAATCCTCTTCTATCTCCCTCGTTTCGATGTCCGCCACTGAAGCCCCTGTTGGGCGGTCATGAAACGCCACCGTGGACACTCAAGGTCCACCGGCAGCAAAAGAAAGCACGTGAGACGACCGACAACCAAAAAGAGAGTCCATCAAAGAGAAAACTCCCAAGTTGAAAGATGTTTTGAGCAGCCTTGGTTGCGTAAGCTAGCAAAGTCATGAAGTTCGTCAAGTGCAAATCGAGGGATTGCACCAACAATGGCCCCTTGTGGGAGGGCCTTTCCTTCAGTCTTGAGTCGAACGTTGTCCGTGAATCCAGGGAAGATACCATGGTCCGGTATCTTGTTGATGAATACAAGGGCTCTGCGAAGCCAAAACGTCAAGTCTCGAAACGTCTTGTCGCTTGCGGAACATGCATGGAGGATAAAACCTCTTTTCCAAAATAAAAAGGCAAATTCAACGTAGGACGTACAAAGATCATCTGAAACACGCCATTGTAGCGAAGTTGTGAAGTCAAAAAACGTGTTCAAGTCCACTGGATCAAGCTTGGACAACGACCCTCGTGGATGTTCAATCCGGAGGTCAGACGTCCAAGTAAACAAAGCAGGACTTTGGATCCAATCCCACCTGGGAAAACGTTTTCGAAGATCAATTGAAGCAGAAGATTCTGCCGAAGTATCATTGGCTGCTGTACACTCATGGTCAACTTCTAGCCCAATAGTACGATTCCATCGTGCAAGAAAAAATCTGTCTTCGGAATACTTGCTTCTGTACCTCCTTGAAGTCTGCCGGGTGGACTGGAGCATGTAACAATGCAGTCTCCTTTGCTGCCTTGTCTGCAATACGGTTGAAGAAAATATCACGCCGAGTTGTATTGTGAGCGTGCGCGAACTGATCTGTAATGGATACATCGTCCAAATCATCAGCAACATGGGCTGGAATCCAAACAAGTTGAACCGGTTGAGGATGAGATTGCTGCCTCTGTTCAATAATTGACCAAATGGTTTGCCACCAAAAGGGATGGCACCAATCACCTTTACACCCGGAAAGTTGAAGGAGTTGCTGGAATTGATCAACAACTGTCCGGCAGTCAGTGTGCACAACAATGGGAGCATCTGACAGGATGATTGTTTTATAGATTGCAAACAATTCAGCAGAATATGAGGAGAGCTTCGGGGATTGTACAGGACCAGTGTCAACAATTTGGCCTGAGGCGTCAATAATACTGTATGCTGCGGAAGTCAGCCAATATGACTCAGCAAGAATTACTGAACCATCGGTCCAAAAATGCTTAGCATCAGCGTCGCCTAAGAAAGCTGGTGAAAAGTCCCCTCGTATTGAAGAGAACTGAAGACGATGTTTGGCGATTCCGACTGGGTGGTCAACCAATCCTAGTAATTGGAAGTTTGGTCCAAGCTCATGAAGCGGCGGTTGTTCATGGGGCAAGGAGCCAGAACAATCAGTCAAAAGATGTCGAAGGGACTCTGTTTCGGTGTTACAAAATCTACACAATTTGGATTCACAGAATCCGGCAGCCGCTCGTCGATCTCGTGTGATTGTACACCCAACACTTTGGGATTCGAAATGCGCAGTCAAATCAAGGGATTGGTCGAACGGCTTTGTATAGTTCTGTTGAAAGGACTTATACAAAGCAAGATCCAAGAAGCCTGTTGGTTTGGCAAGATCTTTCCGTGACTGATCAGCTGCACGTTCATAGCACCACTGTGCACACAAGTTCTGCAGAAGTGGCTTGATGTCATTAACTCCGATTTCCAGAATATGAAAACGGGAGGAGGCGAATACCAGAAAACCATCCTCTGACAGCTGAAAACGAAACAGTGCCAAAGCATCCTGGACACGTGCAAGAAGGCTATGCTTCGATAGAGCATGGTTTCGGAGCAAGTCACAACACTGCTGGACCCGGTCAGGATGTGAATGGATGAAGCGCCAAAACTCGATGATCGTGGAACATGCACGCGAGCACGTCGGTTCGACTCGGAAGGCCTTGGTTAACAGTGCAAACACAAGCATCTTGGAACGCCAATGCGGTCTTGAGCCCCAAAAGACTTGGGCAATCTCGCTTTGCATCTTTTCTAAAGCTCTTTTGGGAATCTTGGAAATATGTGATGCGAAAGAGATTTGGGGCAGGACTTTACACCCAATGAGAAGTTCTTTGGTTTTCCTTGCAACAGGGAGGTTGGCGATGTCAGCAACCACCTTGTATAATTTCTTTTGATCAAACAAGAAGTTCTCTCTATCGGAAGTGTAAATCTTGGCTCCAAGAACATCGAACTCGAGGAAAAGAGGCAAGGAAGGGAAGTGCAACTTAGCGAGTTTACGTGCATTGGCACTGGTTGCCCACAAGACGCTCTTGGAATGATTCAGCTTTTGGCCGACAACCGTTCCCCATTGCTCAGTGATTTGGAGTGCACGAACAAGGTCATCAACACTGTTGATGTGAACCCATAAATATGCATCGTCAATGAACACTCTGGATGTGACATGAGGAATGTGCTCAATGAAGGTGGCCCAGACATGCATATATACATTGATTGCAATGAGTGAGAAAGAACACCCTTGTGCAACCCCGTTTGCATTGGTGACACTATGTTTTGAGATCCAACCCCGGTAAGAAAGATTGAAAATCCTCTTCATATGGGGGGTGTGTTAATCAAGAGTCTACATTAGTACCTCTTCCATATCATCTTTGCATCATTCTCCCTTCTCCCGACACCTTCCACCCCTTCCACCTCTGTCTGGTTCCACCGTTCCACTTTCGATCCCAAGCTTCTCATCCACATCGGCCATGGCCGCGCAACGTTTCTCGCGGGCGCGCGGCCGTGGTGCCAGATCTCGGGGATTGGGTGCCTGCTGGTCTTTCAGGTCTTTCCAACGACCAATAGCGGCTGCGTCTCGTCCCCAAACAGAGGTGACCACAGTGAGACAGTCAGTGGCGGCCAAAACCTGGATCGGCTGAGGTTGCTCAGTCCGTTGGGAAGGGTGATTTCAGAAACTTCGAAAGTTAAAGGGTTAATGGTTGAGCTGACCTGATGTTCTCCATGATGCCCTTTTTGTTCAGCTTGAGCCAAGGGAAGCAATGGTAAACAAAGTTATTCTGCTTCACGCCCTTCCTGTATTTGCATACTGCATACCCACGAAACAGCACAAAAATTGAACCCTGGGTGGCCTGGGTGTGGTAGAAGAAATTGAAGAACTTGAATGTTGTTCAGCACCTGAAATTAAAATATTCTGCACTCTTTTGGACTTATGGCCACTCAATTTGCTGCTCTTTGGTGAAGAATTGCTCCCCTCAGATGATCTTGAGCTTGGTGAGGATCAGGTAAGAGCCGAAGGCGAAGGCGGTGAGGAATGTGGTCAGTCCAAAGTAGCCAATGATCATGAATGGCGTGAACTCTCCAGTCATGTTGTAGTTCAAGTATTCGTCCGCTGCAGATGCTGCCATTGGCATTGCCGCCACGGCGGCCACCACGGGAGCACCCCGAAGAGCAACAGAGTCAGTGGCCGGTGGCACGAAGGTAGAGCGGAGGCTCAAGACTCCCACCACAGCCAGCAGCAAAGCTGTCAGCAAGCTTGACCTACAGAAGTTCTTTATTGATCTTTTTGGGCTCGTCCCAAACGAGAGATGCAAAACATGTTGAAGTCCACATGCAAACAGAAAACAGACCATGGGCAGTCAAGCCTAGTATCCTCCATGATATCGCTTAAAGCTAAGAAAGAGGAATTCAACTTCCCAACCTGGTCCGAGAGGAGGCCATTGCGAGCAAAGTCACCGAGTTGCTTTGCCTGAAGGACTGGAGCCAAAAAAGACTCCAAGGCAGCCAAATGAATGAGCCACAAGGGAGTTGCTAACAAACAAGCCCCATCCAGAGCCAATCCCACTTGTGAATGTTTGCATAAATAGATTAGGCTCGTGTTGCTGTCAAGCAAATAAACTGCCTTTGGACCTCTTTGCAATTGCTCTCATGATTCATGATGACAAGCCTCCATCATTCCCTTTTGCTTCGTGTCACCACGGACACTCAACAGGGTGAAACCAAGGCATTTGTGCCAGAAAGTCCAACTGCAAAAAAATGTGCTTCACGGTCAAAAGCCAGGTCAAAATTTTCAGTTCTAAGCATTATGTTGCTTTGTTTCGCTATCTTCCAACCTCCTATCTACGGGCCGGGCTCAGCATGGCTCATCCGCAATACTCACAGCCTGACTCATCCACGAGCATGAGAATTCGTTGTTTTAGCCGTTTTGGGACCATGTATTCACGCATCCGTCTGAATTCTCGAGTCGTCCACACCTGACGACGTCTTGGTGCCCCGGTTGGTTGGAGAGATAGTGACCTCGCAGTGGTCAAAGTGCGCAACCAAGCTCACGGAGGCTGGTACCCAAGCTAAGAAATCTTGTTCGTAGTGAGGCTTGAGTCCAAGCTCTCAGCCACTTAGCCGCCAATATTGAGAACTGACTCAACCCTCCAAAGACCTCTTCCACGTGAGAATGTGTCTCACTGCACCATACAACACCACAAAAGCAGTCACCCAAGAAAGAAACCGAATCTTGGACTCCGGGCTGCACCTTTGTCAGAGGATGGTCCATCCGACCTGGGTGCTTCAAAGTCCGGCACTCCACCCGGAGCAAACCGGCATCCTGGAGCGGTATACCAGATTGGCAAGGTTTCCTGACGTTCTAACAAAAAGTTTCCGGTCCATCCCTACAATTCGCATGACCCCTTCAAACTCCCCTGGACCAACGCTTCAAACATGGTCGAACAGGCCTCCCCAAGGCAACTTGCTTGCAGTCAAGATGCTCATTTCTGTCCCTGGGCTCAAGAGGTGCCACAAAATCCAAGCAGCTTGACTCTGTACACTCCGCTACACTCCGTTAGGCCCACTCTGACGCGTGCACGAATAGAGATCGCAACCCTCAAGTCCAAATCTCTGAGCTTAGCGGCCCCTTGGGTGACTTCGCATAGACCTGGCTGTGACCAGCTCTGGGATCTCTGATAACCTTTGGTTCAAACCTTCTATGTAGTCATGTGGTGAAAGGCAGGCAGTGGTTAAAGGGAAAGTGAGAAGGGGAGCCTTTCAGTCGTGTAAGGCATGAAATCTCACCAAGGGGTGACAAGTCTACAAAGAGCGGCCTCTGTCTGCCTCACGGGATGTATGTATGTTACATTCATGTGTATAGATATGTTCCATATTAATATATATATATATATTGCTCGCCCCCTTGCCCAAACATTGATTGCGATGGTGGCTGTCACAAACAAATCTAGACTAGACACAATTTATGTAGATCCATAGTATAACGATCCGCAAGTCTTCAAGACCCCTTTTGATCCCTTTGCAGCTTGAACCTGAAGCAATGGCCTAAAATCCACCTGTTGTTGGGCCCACATGAAGGCATTGGGTCCCTCTACCAACGCCTCCTGAAGAAGTTGGTCGAAGGCCTCTTTCACGTGGGCACCCGACACTGCGCTCGCCTGAGCCAGGTAGGGATGCTGATTGGATCCACCAAAGTGATCTCTCATAAAAAGACACAACTAAGGGTTGTCGCCATGGTTTGTCCTCTCCAGACTAAGGGTTTGTCCTCTACACCTGATGTTTTCCTTGACAACATCCAAATAGAAAGTCTCAAGCGGACACCTCATCAGCTTTAATTTATATACAGTAGGCCCACCGTTGCTCAGCAAATACTACCAGCATCTACATCTGTTGATTCATCTTAATCCTCCTGCACGTGTCATGCGCAGCCGCCTCCATAAATAGGAGACCTCAGAAAGGAACGGAAGTCGGGCGGGAGTTGGCCCTTTTGACACGGCTGCTTGAAAAGTTGTGGCACCACACTGGCACCCATCAATTTCAGGATCAACCGTTATACAGTAGTAGAGCTCACTAACATCACAAACACGGCCTGACCCCAATGCCCCTGCAAGAAATCTCACTTCAAAAATCCATTCCCGTCAAATGAGCTGTCAACCCAAGAGCTGTTGGGTCACCCCAGCCGTTCTGTCGTGCAAACTCTGCTGCAACATCATGGTAGACCTGGTTCCGGGTCCATGATCGTCCAACACCATTGAGGTGCCAGCCCACAACTCAGAAGCCCCAGGTGCCAAAACAGTTTGCTTAGAGAGACCTCAAGTCTAAATTTCATGAAAGGTTAGAGCCGGATTCGGAAACTAATCGGTCGGATTCTGAAACTAGGGTTCTGAAACTGGGTTCTGAAACCAGAGTTCTGAAACTTGGATTCTGAAACTGGTATTCTGAAACTGGGGTTCTGAAACTAGGACTCTGAAACTGGCGTTCTGAAACTAGGATTCTGAAACTGGGATTCTGAAATTTGTATTCTGAAACTGGAAAGTCAGATTCTGCAACTGGTATTCTGAAGCTGGAAAGTCAGATTCTGCAACTTGCCTTCTGAAACTTGCAGCTGGTGATCTCCACATCATGCGATAGCGTGTGTGCGTGTGACACCACCTTCGAAGCACATCCAAACCAACGTCATTAGCCCCCCACCCAACCCCCGCACCCCCCAACCCCCCCTTGTCCCCATCGTGTGATCTCGACATCCCTCATCATTCACAAAGTTGCGGGATCCTAGTGAGGGAGTCCACAATGTTGCGGAATCCTAGTTGCGGAACGCCAGTTGCGGAATCCCAGTTGCAGAATCCTAGTTGCGGAATCCTAGTTGCGGAATCTTGACAGTTGCGGAATCCTAGTTTCGGAATCCTAGTTGCGGAATCCTAGTTGCGGAATTCTAGTTGCGGAATCCTAGTTGCGGAATCCTAGTTTCGGAATCCCAGTTGCGGAATCCCAGTTGCGGAATCCGACCAAACAGTTGCAGAATCATCAGAATCCTAGTTGCGGAATCCTGTGCAGTTGCGGAACTCGACTTTATCCTTCATGAAATGTGTGGGCATTCACATTAATCATCTTCTCACAAACATGCGGCCCAGTAGCTTTGAAGCTTGGAGTCTCAAGCAACAGTGGCTGGGGTAGGGCTCTTCCATCCCATTCTAGCTCAAATACTGCCCAGACTCTAGCCCTTCCAAATGGGGATCCCGAGCACCCCCTCCGCACCTGCCGAGCGGAGGGATCCTGCTCCACGAGGTCGATCTGAACAGCGGCACGTGCCGCAGCGAGCAGGACACGTCGACCAGTTCGGTCTTCCACGTCTTCGCTTGGAATGCCATCCAAGGAAGCTAGTGCTGCGCCACTAGAGCTGCAGTCGACAACTCCGGCACGACCTTCTTTTGGGTTAAAAACCTTGCAAGTACAACAAAAGCCTGATAGCAATGGTCTCCAATTTATGTCCTCCAACCGAATAGCGATGGCCTCCAACCGAATAGCGATGGCCTCCAACACAAGCCTAAACACGGCCCAGCCCAAGTGACGCGTTGTCGCAAACTCGACCTTGTTGCCAACCAGGACAATGGTGGCATCCGGCGACGCGCCTGTGTCATCTAGGCGTTTCAATATGTCGGATCACAAACGAACTGGGTGTGTCTTCAAAAACACAAAAAAGGGAATCAGGAAAAGGTCAACACGTGTCAGGTGCCGATCCTCTCCTTCTCAGCCATGCCACTTGCTTGGATCCTTTATATAACTGGTATTGCCACATGCGGGAAGCAATGCGAGCCTTCTCGAACTTCGGACACCTGAACAGTTCAAAGTACAACGGAATTCAGACCTCAAACCTGCACGTCAATTCATTGATCTGTGTCTCCGGCACAGAAAGAATAGAAATTAGGCAACTTATACCTGGATCTTCCCAGTGACCTTTTGATCCCCTGGGAAGGT